ACGCAAGCCAATAAACATCATTAATCATATAAATGGACTCAAAGACAAAACCACATTGTCATCTCAATAGATGCAGAGAAGGCCTTTGAAAAAATTCAACATGCTTTTATGTTTAAAGTCCTAGAGAGAATTGGACTGGAGGGAACATACCTCAACATCATTAAAGCTATATACAACAAACCCACAGCCAATGTCATTCTAAATGGAGAAAAACTGGAAGTATTCTCATTAAAATTAGGAACCAGACAAGGAAGTCCACTATCCACACTCCTTTTCAACATAGTGCTCGAAACTCTTGCTAGAGCAATTAACACAGGAGAAGGAAATTACAGGAGTACTAACTGGAAAAGAAGAGGTCAAACTATCACTTTTTTGCAGATGATATGATACTATATCTAAGAGATCCCAAAAGTTCCACCAGAAAACTAGAACTGATCAACACCTTCAGTATAGTAGCAGGTTATAAATCAAAAAAGGCTACAAAAATCAGTAGCCTTTCTATACACCAATAACAAGCAATTGGAGAAAGAATACAGGGAAATGTTTCCATTCACAATTGCTGCAAAAAAAAATGAAATATCTTGGAATAAATCTGACCAAAGACACCAAAGATCTCTACAGTGAAAAATTTTAAATCCTTAAACAAAGAGATTGAGGAAGCCACCAGGAGATGGAATGACCTCCCATGATCATGGATTGGAAGAATTAATATTGTGAAAATGACCATCCTAACAGAAAAAAAAAGAAAAGAAAAGAAAAAAAGGAATATATAGATTCAATGCAATCCCAATCAAAATCCCCGAGACATACTTCACAGAATTAGAAAAAACCATCCTTAAATTCATATGGAAACACAAAAGACCTCAGATAGCCAAACTAACCCTGAGCACAAAGAGCAACACTGGGGGGATTACTATGCCTGATCTCAATGTATACTACAGAGCTATAAAAACAGCATGGTATGGGCACAAAAATAGACACACAGATCAATGGAACACCATTGAAGATCCATACCTGAGTACAGGAAATTTCAGCCACCTGATATTTGACAAAGGTGCCAAGAACACACAATGCAGGAAAGACAGCATCTTCAACAAATGGTGCTGGCAAAACTGGATCTCCACCTGTAGAAGAATGAAACTAGATCCTTATCTTTCACCTTGCATAAAAGTCAACTCCAAATGGATCAAAGACCTCAGTGCGAAACTGGAAACCCTGAAACTATTAGAAGAAAATATTGGAAGTAACTTACAAGATATAGGTGTAGGAAAGGACTTTTTAAATTGGACAGAAGTTGCTCAGGAATTAAGGTCAGCAATCAACAAGTGGGACCTCATTAAACTAAAAAGCTCTATACAGCAAAAGAAACAATCATAAAAAGTGAAGAGAAAATCCACAGAATGGGAAAAAAAATCTTCACTAGTAACACATCTGTAGGTGATACCGTAGGATGGTCATTTAAACAATATTAATTCTTCCAATTAACATCCAGAATATGTAAAGAACTCAAAAAACAAAGAATGGAGAAACCAAATGACCCAATGAATAGATGGCTAAGACACATCTCAAAAAGTGTTCAACATCATTAGTAATTAGGGAAATACAAATTAAAACCACCCTAAGGTTTCACCTTACCCCAATCAGACTGGCTAGGATCAAGAGAATAAATGACACCAAATGCTGGTGAGGATGTGGAGAAAGGGGAACGCTCATTCACTGCTGGTGGGATTGCAAGCTTGTGCAACCTCTATGGGCAACAGTGTGGAGAACTCTTACAAAAACTAAAAATGAACCTACCATATGACCTGGTTATACCACTCCTTGGCATATACCCAAAGGACTCATCCTATTGTAGAGACACTTGTACAACCATATTTGTTGTTGCTATTTTCACAACAGCTAAGAGATGGAAGCAACATAAGTGCCTCTCAAAATGTGGTATATTTGCACAATGGAGTTCTATTCAACAGCAAAGAAAGAGGAAATAATGAAATTTGCAGGTAAGTAGATGGATCTAGAAACTCTTATACTAAGTGAAGTAACACAGACTCAGAAAAACAAACAACATATGTTCTCCCTCCTATGTGGATCCTAGCACCAAATCATTTTAAATTCCAGGTCCTTTTAATAAGATGATGCTATACAGCAGACCCTTCTGCATGAAATAACTACCATCATCACGACTTCATCTGAGCCTAATCACTAAACATCATCACAACTGGGCTTGTTGACAGTGGTGCTCATTCATTAAAAAAGGGTCAGGCAGGGTCATTGGACCCTTACTGCATTATCCAGCCACTCTTCCCAGCCAACTGTATGTAATTTGGCCTAATCACATATAGCCTCCTGGATTTGCAGAGGGCTAAAGTATACAATCTGGGGAAGGCTAGGGGGATGTGCTGGATAGCTTTAATGTCAACTTGACACCCTGGGTTGAGGGAACCTCAGCTGGGAAATTTCCTCTATTGGACTGGCCTGTGGCAGTGTCCATGGGACACCTTCTTGATTGTTGAGTGATGTGGGAGGGCCCAGACCACTGGGGATGGTGCCACCCCTGGGAAGGTGGGCCTGTGTTGCATAGGAAAGTGGGCTAAGCAGGAGCCAGGGGAGCAAGTCAGTAAGCAGTATTCCTCCATGGCCTGTGCTCCAGCTCCTGCCTCTAGGTTCCTGCCCTGTGTTCCTACCTTGGGCTCCCTAATGAACCTGTGAGATGTAAGCTGAATAAAACCTTTCCTCCCTGAGTTGGTAGTGGTCAGAGTGTTTTGTTACAGCAATGGAGAAACAAACTAAGACAGGAGAGAAGGCACGACCCATGCTGGGTTAAGGCTTTCCAGTGTGTATACCCTCAGGTCATACATACACCTCAGCAACCCCTCAGTTATCTCAGTAAGTAAGCTCAATAAATTCATTGCTTTCCCAGTAAAACTTTAAT